TACCACTTCCTCTGCTTCTGTACCTCGAATTTCTCATGCTATAGTTTTTACTGGTATAGCTTCCTCTACCCCAGCCCGACACTCGCGTCCTATGTTCCGACATCTTGCCGAATTCACCCCCCTTTCATCCCTTTCTGTGCTTGGCCGTAGACGGCTGCGTTCCTCCTCGCCACCCCCATCTCCTCCACGGTCTCGTTTCAGAACCGATTCTCCGGTTTCTATTCTTCCCATTGTTCCGCCTTCATTGCCAGTGACATTTTCTGTTAGAAACATCGCCACTCCTCTTATTGTGTATCATCGTCGACGACATGCACAACATCGCCACTTGGTCAGGGATCAGCGGCCTGCTTCTTTGTCTTCCCCAATTCTCTCTTTGCCTCCTTCACGGGTTGTTGCGGTTCCATTGTCCCAAACGGATACATCCGCTCCTATGCCTCCTGCAGACAGTGCAGCTGCTTGCACACAGCCACAACATCATGTTTTATGCCCTTCCATGTTCGTTTGTCCCCCAGCTGTGCAACAGGATATGGACCCTGCCCAGAGTAGACTCCCAACGACAGTCCCTACTCACGATGTGGCCCCGAATGCTGAGGGTCTGGGACATGATCAGCTCGGACTGCATTTAACCCCGCAAGGCATAGACCACACGGGAGATTTGCAAATGGCTGACCAGGAGCATATGGATAACCTCGTACTTGTGCCCCACCCTATGTGGCCCCGAACGCTAAGGGACTGGAACGTGATCTGCTTGGACTACATTTAATCCCGCATGGCGTAGACCCCACGAGGGATTTGCAAATGGCTGACCAAGATCATATGGATGAAACGCATACTTGTGCACCACCCTGCGCAGACCCCACGGGTGATCTACAAATGACTGACCAACAAAATCAGCCTGAGATCCCCGCCAATCTCTGTGGTYTGACTGCAACTAATAGCTGCCTTCGCGTTCTCAATCGGCCGTTGTATACACCATCAGATTTCCTTGCAATTGCCCTGCAGCTTGATGTTGATCTGGCTAATCTCGCWAATCCCCCCGAYCTACAGCCAGAGCATCGTAATTACACCAGGGAAGGAGGTTTTACCATTGCTGTCCTAGAAATAGCAAYGAGGAACCGCCAGCTTGAACTACGCCATGCTCTACCATGTGAGCTGTTTAATCCTCCATCCCGCATCTCTGCCTGCATTGTGCATGGGCCTGGCCATTACATGACTATTGTACACGCCTCTGACCATTGGGAGGTGTGGAACGACGGTGTCATGGTCCATGCCATGATTGATATTACTGATTTCTTACTCTATGATGCTGTTCTCTTGCCACATCAAACTGTCCGCAACCTCCTTTATGTCGAAGATCATTCCTCTGGCACCGTAGTGCAGCAGTACAATGTACAGACACTTTGTGACCTTCTCCTTTGCACAGCCACAGACACTGTTGCACTTGGGTGTACTCGCAATCGTCTTTGTCACAATCACTACCACGAGATGGTTTCTGCATCCATGTGTGTACAGGATTGTCCCTCCGTTCCTGACTGCAGTCACCCTCCTCATCCAGACACTATATGTCCATTTTGTGGCCACGGACGCTATGCTGAATGCATGCTCTTTTGTGGGGGGCGTTCTTCCTTTATTCTGGCCTGCAATAGACATGCTATTTGTCAGGAATGTATGGTTGGCATGCTTAATGCCAGCCGTCGTGGCAATTGTTGTTTTGAGAATGCTCAGTTAGGTCTTCCATGCGCTCRTCCACCCCATCCTTACAATGTGTGTCCTTTCTGTCGTCAAGGACAACCTCATTCTTGAGCTTTTCCTTGTGTTTAACACCTTCCCCTTCACTCTGCCTCTCTCACAGCGTGCAAGTGGGCTGTTATGGCATACGGGGATGGGGGCAGCTCGCGCTCAACTTCGTCAACGTGGCGAGCCTTGTACGTGAGAGGCACAGTGGAGGTGGAGTTCACGGAAGAATGAGAAATTTAATGGTTTCAATCTGACCTTGTTTTTTCTTTTTGTTTTTCTTTTTCTTTTTATTTTTGCATGTTATCACTGTGCCCGTTTTTTGCTTTTATTCTTTTTTCTGCAAAGTGCGCTCTTTTAGTTTGTAGTGATGTGACAATATATTCTCCGATGTTGCTAGCCCTCTGCTCTTGCAGATTGAGCGGCGAGCATTGGGCCTGTACAACCAGACACTTACTTTTTTTGTGGAAGACAATCTATTCTTTCTCTTATCTCCTACATCTTTCTTTTTATGTTGTTCTCACCCCCTTCCTTAACGACTCTCYTGCCTCCTTCGCAGGAGCTGTATGCCTATTTGGCTGGTTTCATGGTGAACTCGGCTCCTCCATTGTTTCTTATGACAAATGTTGTTACAAAAGTTCTGCATGGTTGTTTGTCATTTTTTGGTAAGTTTGGTATTGTGACCATGTTCATTTCTGTTGTACACCCCTTACATGGACATTCGTGATGTACATTCCGTCTTGTCTATGTGTTGTGTACAGCTGTTATGTACACTTTTTCCTTCAGTGCATGATGTGATTGTGATGGCGGTCACCGCAAGGGCACGGGTTGCACCCCTTTCCCGTGCAGTGGGTATAGTTACGGCCCGCCTAAGGAGGGCACGGGTTGCACCCCTTTCCCGTGCAGTGGGTATAGTTACGGCCCGCCTAAGGTTGGTCAGACCCGGGCGGCTGCCTCCATGCCCACTCACCTCTTGTTCCCTGTTCTTTGGGATAATCCTTCTACGCTGGCTCATGCATGTGTCAGTTGCTTGGTGACATNTTTAACACCTTCCCCTTCACTCTGCCTCTCTCACAGCGTGCAAGTGGGCTGTTATGGCATACGGGGATGGGGGCAGCTCGCGCTCAACTTCATCAACGTGGCGAGCCTTGTACGTGAGAGGCATAGTGGAGGTGGAGTTCAAAGAAGAATGAGAAATTTAATGGTTTCAATCTGACCTTGTTTTTTCTTTTTGTTTTTCTTTTTATTTTTATTTTTGCGTGTTATCACTGTGCCCGTTTTTTGCTTTTATTCTTTGTTCCGCAAAAAGCGCTTTTTTAGTTTGTAGTGATGTGACAATATATATGTGTTTGACAATATATATATATGTTTTTAATTCGGTAAAGAATTTTGATGTGACCTGAGGCAAAAGTTGTTCAGTTTTATTTTTCTGCATAACATATGTTTTTTTTTTTATGTTTTGGTTTTTGCAAGGAAGATGAGCAATAGTGAGCTTCAGCAATTAAACAGCATCATACACATAAGACCAGATAGTTGTGACCTCGAACCAAAAACAGAATTGCATCACGAGTTTCACCAAATAAGAGTACACCAGAAGCTCATAATTGACAATGCTGGAATAGTCTCATCATCATCATCAACGACGAACCAATGTTGATATCCTATCTGGCGCTCGGCGCCCAGACTACAGATGGCAGATCCTATCTAGCCTAGACTACAATGCCGAAGATGACGACAACAGTTCTCCTGAAGTACGAGCAGATAGCGGCCAATGCTGCACGCTTCCAGCACCAGGTATGTCTCTCGCATCATTCACAACCTCGTTCCCCAACACACAGATGCGACATGCACCCAAGGACCACCAAGCGCCACACCCAGCTAACAGCAGCGCAGCTTGGGTATGGCTGCCTGCTCCTTCCAGCTCGCGCGTGAGCGCGTGAGTGCTAGCCAGCTTCAGCACAGCAGCGCTTGCGCAGCATGCAGCCAGCACCCGAATGAATAATGCGGAGGCAGACCCTTTGCTATATGGAAATGGCCTGTGTGCGTTCTGTCCCAGGCTGCGTTGGGCCTTTCCAAGAAGCTTCCGGTAGGCCCTGGTAGATTGAGGCGCAGACAAAAAGAATTGGCTCAGGGCTCCTGACAGTTACCTGTGTCGAACTGCCCACAACCTGAGTTGGGCCTATGCTGCGAATCTCGCCCAGGGCCTGACTCAGATGCATTTGATAAAGGAAACCAGGGTCTGGGCCCTTCCAACCAACTGGCGCAGTGCAACTGCCTAAATTTTCCCCAATTGCGAAATAGTCCAAAATAGGCCTCTGAGGGTCTGCCGAGCTTGCCTTCACTTAGGGCGGCCGACGCTGTTGCAAATAGGGCCCAGTGGGGCTTATCGAGGCCTTGTGCCTCGCATTCCCTCCTCCATACTTCGCTAGTCCTCTGAGAAGTTCAGTCTTTGATAATCTGGCGCTTTCCTTTCCGTAAAGACTTCTCATAGTGGGCAACTACCTGTGGAGCGGTCTGCAACAGTTCCTCCCTTGTGAACCATCTGTCCTCCCTTGGATCAGTGTGATGTCTGAACCGAACTCGATACTGCAGCTTCGGTTTCGAAGGACGTCCTCTGCCTGTTAGTCTTGGAACTGGCATCTCCCGGTGGTCAACAATATCATCAATGTCGACCTCTCCATCCATGGTTGGGGGTAGCATTGAGCGACGAGATGGAAACTGATCTGTTTCTTTAAAAGGTGCAAGCTTTGAGGCGTGGAAAACAGGATAAGTGCGTAAGTGACCAGGGATGCGAACAACATAAGACAGCCCATCTGTTTCCTTCCCAACAACATCCAGAATCTCCCATGGTCCAAAGTATTGTGGCATGAGCTTGCGGGAGATCCCGTCCTCCATGACTCTCTCTCCTACCTGAAACGTGGATGGGCGGTGTTTGTTCTCAGACTCTATCATCGCCGCCTGTGCTTTGTGCATCTGCTCAACAGCCTGCTGCATCAGCTGCTCATATCGATAAGCAAACTCTAAAGTCCCAGGTGCAGCATGGGGCTGGTTCTCAGGTAGTAAGAAATCCAAGGTCAGTCTAGGCTTAAAGGTTAATAGCAGATTATTCGGGCTCACGCCCGTTGCACTGTGGACCGCGTTGTTGTA